TTTTCTATTACAGCTTTAAATAAATCTCTTCCGGCTCTTGGAGAGTACAGACGCTTTTTTCTCCTCTCCCTCCCTCCTCATCCCAAGGCTCTTTGTCCCGTCTTTGTGCGCGGCGCTTTCTGCATTTTTTCTGGAAACTGGAAATTATTAAAAAAAATTGATCTGGTCAGTTGGTCTCTCAACGCGATTGACAACATTTTTTCAACGATGAGAACGGGAGAAGGGGCTCCCGGATGCCCCTCTGGGACAGAGCCAGCTGGGTACATCATGGACTCCTGGAAACAGTGGAACCTGATCTGCCTCTCTCAACTGTCTGTAGAGGATTCTGAAGACGTCTGGAAAGTCGTCGTTTTGGTGTCGGGGTTCCTGCTGTTTGGCGTGAGCGGTTACCTGGCTTACCGGAAAATTAACGAGCTTTCGAGGAATATTGGCTCAATCCCGGAGCTCACGGATGGATTACACCGCGCTGTGAACGCACAGACTCATATAATTGTCGAGATGAGTCGTAAGCTTGGAACTTTGGCTGAGATTCAGACTCTGGGTCAGAGTGGATTCCATCAAGCAGCGAGTGGACAGATCAGCATGGATTGGGATTGATTAATTACGCCATTACTGGATCTAGAGGGGTTGAAGACCAACAGAACACTGAGGCAGAGAGGAAATTATCTTTGTCTGTACCCAAAACAATCCTTATGTGAATCTGGTGCCCTTGGAGCCTGTGAGGCTGAAGTGATTACTCCCCCCTCAGAAGAAATGTGGAATGCTACCGTTGCTATGGAAACTCTTTCTCCCTATACCAGCCTGGGCGGGGCTGTGACCGGTGAAGGCCGTGGAACCGTATCTAGGAGTCACTGTGCTCTCTAACCCATTATCTCCTTCCTCTGTCCAAACGGAGGTGACGAGCGCTGCTCCATGCGGCTGTAGGCACTGAAGTGAGGAGAGTCCCAACCCTACCTCCCCACCTAGTGGACACTTATGTTGTGTAATGTCTGAAGTCTGTGTGCATTTCTGTCTGAGGCGTTTTTTACATAGTAAAGCTGCCCTCCCTGTGGAGGGTAACTCTGAAGTGCCTTTTTTTCCTCCACCTGACGCTATCCTCATATAAACCCTCTTGATCTATAACGGTAGCGCCACTCGGGTTGCGAATGACCACAGTCACCAATTCTTGTCATGTGTCTATGTGTGTATGTCTGATCTCAGAACTGTGTTTACTGAAACTCTAATTTCCCTCTGGGATTAATAAAGTATTTTTTATTTGAATTTGAATTTGAATTGAAATAAATCAAGCTATAAAAGGTTATAAATAGATAAAACGCTACTAAAGCCGTAGGGTACAAACCTAAATAACACAACACAGACAATCATCAATATGAAAACAAAGCTCCAACTTGTTTGAAAAATTGAAGAAAATTTTTTTCTTCTGAATACAAAAACTGGGCTAAAATTTTCAATAAAGTTTTGGAAAGTAAAACACCAAGAAAACAAGTTAGAATAGCTCCAGTAAAGTAACCCTAACCCCTATTTCCTACATTAGCAGCTGAAAGAAAACCAACGGGGAAATGTGCGGATTGGAGACACCCGACGGATCTACGTCCCACTGAAAGTTAGCATTCACGGACTCACCGATCTTGACTCAAGATAGCATAGCACATTTTGACAAGTAGAAGTTAGCCATTAGCATTAGCAACTCCACCACACAGCAGAACTCCTTTGGGCTTGTGTTATTTGTGAGGAGCATATGGAGTCAGTGGTAGAGATGTGTTGCTGTTAGCCAATCAGAGTCAAGATGTCCAAATATCAGGAAATAAGCTCTAAGTCCTGCCATCTTTAGCTCACCGCTCTTCCGGCTAACGTCTACTTCCTGAAACAGGAGCGCCAGAGCTTTTTTTTCCCACAGAGATCACCTCACAAGGCATACATTTGTACTAGAGACCTCTGCAGATGTGTTGAAAAAAAAAAGCGAACTTGGTCTTTAAACATACTTGAGTTAGTCTGAAAATATTCAGTTGTGTTGGAATAACTTCAAAAAATTGCATCCAAATTGTTGCCCAATTTTTTTCAAGTTTTGCCAGTAAAGTTTTTCTCAGAGTGTATTAGTGCCAAAATCTGCTGTGCTAGGGAGCCGATCAGTCGGACCTGTTGCCTGAAAGCCTCGTTGACACCGGACCTTCTGGTCTCTTCTTCGCTCGCCCTTCGAGTCTCGTGTAAAAACGCCAATGAGGCAATAAAACCAGTTTGTAGTCGCCACAGTTACTCTGACATTAAATAAGATCCCGCAAAAGGCCAACACACACACACACACACACACACACACACACACACACACACCTGCATCTCCTTCCTTTTTGTTAATAACACCACTGGCTGCTCTTTCATGGGTGATGAAATTCAATAAGCAGTGAAAGGAACTGCCCTCTCACTGATAACCATCAATGGACGTATTGATCCACAACTGCATTGGTGTGTGTGTGTGTGTGTGTGTGCGCGCGCATGTGGGCATGAGCACACCATGATTCCATCTATAATTCACCCGGGGGACTTCGTAGCAGACAGGCTCTGAATAATCAGAACAGATCTATACATCTTGAAGGAGAGCATGGAACACTGGTTCTAGCTGACATTTGGCCCCTGAACGCAGCACTCCAGATCTATAACACACTTTAATGTAATTAGAAAGAATAACGACTGAACCTCTTCCTTATTCCACACACTGCCGTAGGAACACGACGTGTCACACAACAGCTGACACAGAAACACACACGGGCTTCCAGATGAACTGAGTCAACATCACTCATTCACCGTAAAACGAACCTGGACCGCATCCAAACGTCTGCGTGTCATACTTAAAAGAAGCGCTTTGTAATTACATCACAGTGCTGGGGCTTCAGTGTGTGTGTGTGTGTCTTCTGGAAATAAGAGCATCTCATTGTTTGTTGCCGTGATCTGAAAGCTGTTTGGATTCCAAATGAAACCACTAGAAATCTATTAGCTGTGGTTAACATCAGAAAGCGCTAAAGGGTGGGAGGAGTAATCCCAGCAAAGTGTGTGTGGGTGAGTGTGTCATCTGCACAACAGATTGAGTGAGCGTGCAGGCAACACACACACACACACACGCACACGCACACGCACACACACACACACACACACACACACACACACACACACAGTCTTTTCTCAGCATCACAAACTGCCAACTAGGGTTTGTTTTCATGATTCTCCGCCTGTATGTGTGTGAAAGCAAGAATAAAATGGCTGCCATCGTGTTTATTTATTTATCTTCTTTTTTCTTTTGCAAGGCCATCCATGTGTGTGAGCAGCGGTCTGATTCGTTTGACCCTACAGCCTCAGAGCTGGAGGAGGAGGAGGGATGGAGGGAGAACAGGTGTGAGGCAGGCTGGTGGCTGGGCAGATGGCCCCTGGACGTGCTGGCGGATGCTGTGGAGCCTGGACCAGCCTGCTCCTCACACACAGGGGAGACCTGCAACTGACTTTGCTTTAATGCTACTACTACTACTACTACTACTACTACTAATAATAATAATAATAATATTGCCACGCAAAGCCATAAAAACATTTCTGAAGAATTGCATTGAAGTTGCAAAAATCTGCACCACTGTCATACGCTCAAATACAAATCTACAATGTTTTGTTAAGAGATATGAAGAAAACCAAAAAGTCATAATAAACCTGCTTCAGTGGTTCATCACCATGGCGACCACACACCTGCTCTATTAAGTCTCAGACAATTAGCTGCTGGACGAGCAAATCCCATCAAAGTCCCGTCAAATCCACATTTCAACCTTTTCTGTAAGCAAATGAAGCCAGAGGAACTTTGAGAGGATTTTAGAGAAAATGTTCATTCTTGCAGCAGCAAGAGACAAAAATACTAAAGTATCAGCGTTCTGGTGCAAAAATCCTGCGTTAGGAACATTAAGATGAGTTTATTTGTTAAATCCGAGCTCTGGAACTTGATCAGGGAAGGATTCCTTCAGATTTTCCTAATTTTTGTACATCCACTAGCAGAATGTTTTGATTGAACTGCACGTTTTGCACGGTTTCATAAATTTGCATGAAAAAACAAGTAAAACAACTAAAATAGGATTTATATGTGGCTGTATTAATACATATCGATACAATTTGCTATTTATAAGGGCTTGCTTTACTGAACGCCTGTGAAATCTCAGTGCGTAAAAGTGCCCAAAGCCCTGCGGTTCTCTGGGAGACCCTTTCCCTTTCCGCTTCTGATCCCGGCCGTGAGAACCAGCCTGAACAACAGCCTCCCACCCTAAAAGCCACATGTCCGCTCTTTTCCCAGCCGGGGCTAAATATTCCCATGCAGGACAAAAATACAGCGCAGAGCCTTTCATTTAAATTATCGGTTTTCTTTCATTTTTATGTCTAAGAAACCCTTTTTTCCCCCTGCGCTTTTTCTGGGTTATGGTGACAAAAGCCGCAGATGCGAAGTTCATGCGGAAGATGCGTCTGACAGGTTGCGTCAGCGCGCTGGAGAACAGCAAAGACAAATGGAGTTGTCTGGAAAGTTAAACCTTAATTTTTTACGCGTAAAACCAACAAAGGTGGACAAGTGCGCTCGTTTTCCCGGTAATTCCGCGCAACACTTCCAACCTCTCCATATTTCTTTTGAGGAACTTTAAAGGAAACCATTTTTAGGACCGCGGCTGCCTGTTGCCCAGTAAACAGCCTCCGCACATCCAGATGTTTTCTAGTTTGACATCAAACCAAAAACATTAGACACTTATGTTGTTGTCATCTTGGCACCCAAACGCGCATCAGGTCACACGGAACAAACATTCTAGTTCATGACGTTTTATGTATGCATTGAATCTTATTCTTTCCTGACCAAACTTCCAAAAAAATAATACTATAAAGGACGAGAAGTGAGTTCTTTTCACACATTTGGCTCATAAGTGTCACGCGCGCGCTCCAGCAGGGCGTTATGATAGAATCCAGCCTATAATAAAGAGAAAGAGCGCTCTTACACTGAAAGGAGGCTGAGATTCCCACCATGCGGCACGGCGGTGTGAGGAGGCTTAATGATTCCCAGTCCCGTTGACGCGCTTAAGAGGATCCGCCTGGTTCGGGAAAACTAACGGAGTCCAGCCAGCTCTCGGGGCTCCGGAGGTCCACTTCCAAAGGATCGGAGAAAAAGAGGATGGAAACTCCGACAAGAGGAGAATGAGGGGAGAAGCTCACTTATGGCTGAGGAGATTCAGGGTGGGAGAACCGGGAGGGAAGAAAAAAGGGAGGATGCTGTACCGCCTCTCCTTTTTCTGTCGTTTCACTTCCCTCTTCTGGAAAAATAAAGAATCCTTTACGCGTCACTTTCTGCTCCGGAGAAATGCTGCTTGTTTTCAAAGAATGGAAGGGAATAAATCACAGGCGCGCGCACATTCAGTCTGGAGGTTCTGGTGGATTCTGCTTCTCTGTTGGTGTGAGGAAGAGGAGTAGCGGCGCTCTGCCTCCAGTCGGCGGTGCGCAGCAGAGCCAGGTGGCGGGGGGCGGGGCTGAGGAGGAGGAGGAGGAAGAGGAGGCAGCATCTGTGCGTTCTGGAACAGGTTGGAAATGCAGGGTCAGGTCACGTCAAGGTGTTTTATTTTGTCCCTACCTGTAGCTCCTGGGGCCGTTTGTCAAGGTATAATCCAGTTATAAGTATTTTTATTAAAGAGACAATATGTAGTTTTTACCAATAATTTCTGGAAACATCCATCAAAATGAGTTGTTGAAAACTGTTGGAGGCTTTGTAACATATAACCATAAAAATCAGGTCTAAAATACACGGGAGCGGGTCTAAGACTCTGGGCAACGGCATATTAGATGCCATGTTTCCTTCAACGGGAGCCCGTGAGGACTGTCAGACTGATCGGCTGGGGTCGGGAGCTGAGCTTGTTGAGAGCGTTTCACAGACGTGGAAGTGAGAGCGCCAGTGAAATGCCGGCTCGCGATTTAATCTAGGAATCCCTGAGCGTTCGAGCGTCAATGAAGTGACACAGAAGTGCCGGGTTTTCCAGAAGTAAATAAGCACACTTACTGTGAGCAGAGAGTTCGTGAGATGGATCGGTAGATTGGTAACTCAGATCATGGATCCGAAGAAGCGGTGACTGAGTGATCAGCTGGGGAGGCGACTTCCGTATATAGCCGCGGTTCCTGACGTAGGTGCGACGTGGAGGGAATCCCCGTGAGGGGCATGCTGGGAGTTGTGGTCCGTGGTGGAGGCCGGCTAGCTGGGAGAGGCTGGTTTGGGGACTTGAGTTCTGACAGGACCCCCCCCCCCCCCCCCCCCCCCCCGGTCCAGGGACGGCTCCTGAAGTCCCAGGGCGGCCCCAGAGGTCCCAAAAGTCAGTGATCAGGGCTGGGTCCAGGATGGAGCGGGCCAGTTCCCAGGAGCGTTCCTCGGGGCTGTAGTTCACCCAGTCCACAAGGTACTGCCATCCCCGACCCCTGCGACGGGCATCCAGGATGCGCCGGACGGTATAGATGGGCTCACCGTCGAGGAAGCGGGCAGGCGGAGGCGCCGGAGCCAGAGGCGGAAGCAGGGAGGACTCCATAAAGGGCTTGAGTCGGGAGATGGAAGGTGGGATCAACGCGGAGAGTCGCCGGTAATCGCAGCCGGTAATCGCAGCCGGTACGAGACTGGGTTGATGACTTTCTGTATCGTGTAAGGCCCGAGGAACTGGGGAGTGAGTTTTTTGGATCCAGCACGGAAATGGAGGTCCACGGTGGACACCCAGACCTTATGCCCAGGGACATAGGAGGGACCAGGGCGGTGTCGGCGGAGATGTTGGTGAGCGTAACGGGCGTTGGCTCGGGTAATAGAAGCTCGTGCCTTGATCCAAGCGTTCTTGCAGCGCCTCACCAGGGACTGTGCGGCCGGCACAACCACTTCGGGCTCCTGGTGGGCGAAAACCGAGGGCTGGTAGCCATAGCAGACCTCGAAAGGGGACATCTGAGTGGTTGAAGAGGTGTGAAGGTTGTGGGACAGCTCTGCCCAGAGGAGGTATTTAGGCCATTGCGAGGGTTGGGCCGAGACAAAGCTGTTGGATAGCCCGCTCCGTCTGACCATTGGTCTGCGGGTGATAGCCTGAGGATAGGCTGACCGATGCTCCCATGAGGTGGCAAAAGGCTTTCCAGAATCGGGCTGTAAACTGGGGACCCCGGTCGGAGACCACATCGACAGGGAAGCCGTGAAGGCGCACCACGTTCTCCAGGAATAGTTCTGCCGTGCGTCGGGCCGAAGGGAGACCTGGAAGGGCGATGAAGTGGACCACTTTAGAAAACCGGTCTGTGACCGTGAGGACCGTGTCGAGGTTGTTAACTGGTAGGAGTCCTGTCACGAAATCCAGACCCACGTGGGACCACGGACGGCTGAGCACCAGAAGAGGTCTGAGGACACCAACAGGGGCCTGGCTGGGTGTCTTGGAGCGGGCGCAGATGTCACAGGCGCTGGTGTATTCCTTTACATCCTTCGCCATGCAAGGCCACCAGAGAGCTCGTTGGAGGAACTTAAGAGTTCGAGAGAACCCAGCGTGGTCAGACAGGCACGACGAGTGGGCCCAGGAGAGCGCCTCGCTGCGACAGGACGTAGGGACATAGAGACGACCCACGGGGGTATCTGGAGGTGCGGGGTCGTCCCGGAGGGCATTCTGGATAGCCTCCTCCAATGACCACCTAAGGTGGGCCAGAAAACGGTGCTCTGGGAGAATTGGTGCTGGCTCGGATGTGGGCGTGGAGTGTGTGAACTGGCGAGAGAGGGCATCCGCCTTCTAGGTTTTAGTTCCAGGGCGGTAGGCGAGATGGAACTCACAGGGTTTGAAGAAGAGGGCCCAGCAGGCCTGGCGAGGATTGAGCTGCTTGGCGGATCGGATACGAGTCAGGTTCTGGTGGTCCGTCCAGATAGTGAAAGGCTGGGTGGTGCCTAGAAGCCATTGTCTCCACTCTTCCAGCACCCATTTTATGGCCAGCAGTTCGCGATCACCCACGCCATACTTCTGCTGGGTGGTGGAAAACTTCCTAGAGAAGTAGGCGCAGGGATGGAGCCTGTCATCGGGCCCGCCTTGGGACAGGATGGCACAGACACCAATGTCTGAGGCATCGACCTCGACCACAAAAGGCTCCCTAGGATCCGGATGGCGGAGGATAGGGGCCGACGTGAACCGGGTGACCAGGTGGCGGAAGGCCCGAATGGCGTCTGGAGTGAGACGGAACGGTTGGCTGGATGGGCTTGGCTGGGTGAGGGAGGTGAGAGGTGCCACAATGGTGCTGAAGTTCTTGATGAAGCGGCGGTAAAAGTTGCAGAAGCCCAGAAAACTCTGCAGCTGTTTCAGGCTCATAGGAAGAGGCCAGTCGGCGACCGCCTGGACCTTCTGAGGGTCCATGGTTATGCCCTGATCAGAAATCATGAAACCCAGGAATGAGACAGTCCGCTGGTGAAAAGAGCATTTCTCGGACTTGCAGTATAGGTTGTTGTCAAGGAGCCGGGTGAGGACGGCACAAACATAGTGGATGTGTTCGGCCTCGGTTTTGGAATAAATTAGGATGTCATCCAGGTAGGCAAACACCCACCGGCCCAGCATGTCGCGGAGGACATCATTAATGAGGCGTTGGAATACGGCGGGGCTATTGCACAGCCCGAAGGGCATGACCAGGTACTCCCAATGACCGGTGGGTGTGATGAAAGCAGTCTTCCACTCCTCCCCGGCTTTGATGCGGACCAGATTGTAGGCGCTCTGGAGGTCCAGTTTCGTGAAGATCCGCGGCTGGGAGATGGAGTCCAGAGTGGTCGTGAGGAGTGGCAGGGGATGGCGGTCCCTGATGGTGATCTTGTTCAGACCCCGATAATCTATACAGGGATGAAGGTCACCTTCCTTCTTTTTCACAAAGAAGAAGCCTGCAGCACCTGGGGAAGAGGAGGGTCGGGTGAAACCCTGCTGGAGGGCCTGGTTAATATATTCCTCCATAGCTCTGGACTCGGAGGGAGAGAGAGAGAAAAGGCGTCCACGGGGAGGACTGGTTCCTGGTTGCAGCTTGATTTCCATATCATATGGGCGGTGAGGCGGCAGCGCGGTGGTGCGTCGCTTATCGAAGACTGCAGCTAAGTCCCGATAGGATAGTGGTAGAATGGGCGGTAGAGGTCCAGGACCACCAGTGGTCTGCCATGGGTGGAGGAGGAGAGAGGTGGGCCTGGCACTGGGTCCTCCAGCCTAGAAGGCGGTCCTGGGACCAGGAAATCTGGGGGTCGTGTAGACAAAGCCAGGGGAACCCCAGAATTAGAGGAGAGGAGGAGAGTTGTTTTATTTTTTAACATTTTAGTATTTTACCTTTACTGGTTTATTTGTTTTTATCTGTACAGCTCTTTGGTCAACAGGGTTGTGTATAAAGTTCTATAAAAATAAAGGTGGATTGGATAAAAATCATACTCATACATGGATATAAGTGTAAATGTTGAAGCTGTTTGAGCCAGATCAGCTTAACAAGATGTTTTAAAACTATTTTAAAGGCCTTTATTTGACTTTTGAGAAAAGGAACTATTTTCCTCTAAAAACAGGTTGGATGCATTTTTGATTTTCCAGTACGCATTTTAAAGCTAAACCAAGCCCAAAATGAGCTTTCTGCTGTTTAAATTGGGCAATTTAGGTCTGCAATTTGTTGTTAGAAAACAGAAAATGATTCTCCTGGTGCCGCATTTTGACACAAAACGCACCGGTTCCACCACCACTTCCTAAATTGAAGTGTTTACAAAAATATTACCAGGAAAAGTACAGAACAGACACAAAATACTCAATAAATGTTGGAAGTTTAACAGAGGAGAAACAGCTGCTCAAGATTCAAGACATGAATGCAGCCGATAACTTGACTTTCCTGGTGTGTATCAGTGTGTAACCTACACACACACACACACACACACACTGAATTCCTCCATGTTTTCCTCTGCTTACCAACATGAAGAGGCTCAGGCGGTCTGGCCCGCGGTAACCTGAAGGCTAACGGTTTCCCCGGACCATCTGGAAGTCATCTCACCCACAGAGCCAGTGAAAGCACAGAGCAGAAGCTATGTTTACAACTCAGTGACAACAACTGGTCCACTTGAACCACATGGCTGAACAAGTCACGCACCATTGTCTGCTCACAACATCTCATAAAACACTTTATTATATCCGCTTCAGGTCTGTTCATCTGTCACAAACCTCCTGGACGAAACGTTTCACTGCGAGTCTTTATTAGCATAATTCCATCCCAGTCAGGATCATGAAGCATCATCGTAACTTCTTTTATTTACTGCGTATAAAACATTCAGAGAGTCTTTCTCCTTCTCTGCAGAACAATCTCTGTGGGGAATGGATGATGCCATCATGTGCAATCGTTTACAGATGTGTCATTGTGTGTTTCTGGAATCTTCCTACGTTTTTATCTCTCCGTCGTCTGTCCGAACACTTCAGCCCCACATTTATGCACACTTTCACCTATTACCAGGGGCGGATCTACAAAATTATTTATGGGGTGGCAGAAGAGGGGCAAACATTTTTCTAGGGTGGCAATACATATATATATATATGTATATATGTATATATATATATATATATATATATATATATATATATGTATATATATATATATATATGTATATATATATATATATATATACATATATACATATATATATATATATATATATACATATATATATATATATATATATATATATATATATATATGTATATATATATATATATATATATATATATGTATGTATGTATATATATATAATATTTCACTGCAACGAGATATTGTACTTTGGTTTTATTGTTCACTCAGAAACACGTTTT